CCCCAAAACCCCAAAACCCCATTAAACAATAATTAAAAGAGATAAGATCAGAATAAATTAATGTTCATTTTACTTGATGAATATATATGGATTTGCTTATTCAATTTTATTAAAATGCTAATAAAAACATTATAATAACCTACTATTAGGCAGAATAGTTTCTAATCGGTGCTTAAAATACTTTTTCTTACATCTGTGGTCAATGCTGATACAGAAAAATATTATGAAATGAATTATCAAGAAGGTAGCTAAGCAAGAATTGAAATATTGAACAAGACATACATCAGATATAATGTGCAGATCAAGAAAGGCCAATATTTAGCTTTTGGCTATGGCTATAGTATGAAAAATGTAGATATGGTGATTTTTTAATCATCAACTATTCCATAAGTTCTTGATCTTTACTCTAATGATGAGGCCATCCCTTAAATTGATTCATAACAGGATTATATTTCAAACTTTACAACCAATTCTACTCATGTGAATTTCGTGGCTACACGTTTATTGGAGACGACTGATTCCAATGATAAAGTAATTAAATTGGTAAGTATAGCATCTAATCTTAACTCTATCAATATATTAATTCTATTATTTAGGGAGAAGCATTACCAATGGTTTGGGCGTATTCAATACTAAACTCAAACTTGATTAAGCATGAAGGAAAAGGCTCATTTGAAATCTATGTTTCTAATGCTGGCATAAACTATCAAAGAGAGACTACATTTATTGAATGGGATAACTTATTAATGGTTAGAGTGCATGGATGGTTCCTCTGGTTTACATGGAGTCTTCTGAGCTACATCTAAATGGCTGTGAATCGCTATTTAAAGATATTTTGGAAGGTAAACATGTGGATTCATAGAATAGTGGGGACACTCATTTTGATTCTGACTATAATAATGTCAATTGTTGGATTCAGAAATCATAAGCACATCTTTGAAGATTTGTCTGGCCATCATGTTATAGGAATTATAATTTTCTTTAGCGTTAATTTGCTAGTAGCAAGTGGTATAATTGCCAGAAGTAGGCAGATAAGACTTAAATGGAAGACTTCTAAAATACTAATCTTTAAAAACATTCATAAGGTAAGGGTCGAATCACCACATTCATAGCTAATATGTATATTTTTCCTATTGGAAGTTAAATATCATATGATCAGTTTATTTATATCTTGTATAGATTTATGGAAAACTAATGTATTTACTTGGTCAGGTAGGAGTCTTAACTGGTATACTTCACTATAATAATAGAATCAAGCCTGAGACTATTCTTTGGCTTCCTAACGCAGATACTTTCCTACTATCTGGAATTTTCGTTGAGATAATGTATTAAGTATATCGTAATAGAGAAAGTCCATTCAAGAAATCATAGATGAAAATAACAATTTAAGATTTTGAAGCAAGAGTTCGAAGCGGCTAAAAACTAGTCTTATTAGATGATCTGGTATTAGATATTAGTAAATTCATGGAAAGCCATCCAGGTGGTAAGTTCTCATTGGAAGCAAACATCGGTAGGGATGTGTCAAAGTTCTTTTATGGAGGCTACTCAATGGAAAATTATTCTTAATTTACTCCACTCCATAGTCATTCAAACATTGCGAGATACATCGTTAATGGATTGATCATTGCTTAATTGGACACTCAAGTGATTCCAGAGGTTGCCAATATGCGTTTTAGTTCATCAAGCTATGTAAAAACTTTGACTCAGACAATAGTTTTGGAGAGAGAAGATGGAAAGGAAGTAGGCTTTCACAAATTCTTCAAGGATATTCAAATGATCGGAAAGTACTACTTAGTAAGGAAAAGATTCAGGAGGTAATTTGTTAATAGGCACTACACAGTAGCTAATTGTATGGAGCCTAAGGCCTACGAAGTATATCTTGAGATACTTAAAGGAAATAAAAGTGTCTATTTCGAGAATTAAGAATTGTTTTAACAAAAAGTTGGCGGTAGCTTTTCTATTACTAGTAAAAATTACAAGACTAAGAGTGGTGTGTCAAGAAGATTACATGAATTTTAGACAGATATATTTTAAGTTTAAGGACCACTGGGAAAAGGTCTCTAGATCTAGTCCTCAGGATTGCATATTGCTTTCACTGCAGGTACTGGCATCCTGGCTTTTGTTGATCTAGTAGCCCACCTCATTAGAAAAAACTTTAACCTACTCACACCTGAGGAAGATTCACAAATAAACATTGAAGAATTTAGGTTTATACTTTACGCCTCATTCAAGAACGAGGAGGATTCAATTGCTTATGAGATGTGCCAGGGTCTGTAAAATTACTGTAGAAAAAATGGGCTTAAGAACTTTTAATTTAATGTGAGATTCAGTGATGCTAATTTGAATAAATGGGATTATGGATTTATTGAGTATGTGCTTGGAGTAAACCAAGATATAGATTTACAAAGACTATGGGTGTGTGGTCCTCCAAAGATGAATGAGGATTTCCATAAAGCTCTAGAAAACCTAGTTTAAAATAACTTTATTGAGAGCAGCTAATATGAAATATTATGAAATCAAACAGAGAGACCGAATTTAAATATAGATTATCTTTTAGAGGTAAATTGCTTTTCTAAAATGATATTCTAGTAATAATCATTATAATGATATAATTTAAAAGCTCGATATTTTAATTGAAAATCAATTCTTAGAAAAATTCAAGATAAACCATTTTGGGGTTTTGGGGTTTTGGGG